GAGTTCATTTTAGCAGGAAGGGGCATCAGAGAAACAGTTTTGGGGAGTGTGTCTTCTGGACAGTTCAAGACAAATTCATATAGAGTGTTTGCTTTGGGGGCAGAGAAACATGATCTAGTTTTATCTAGGAAAACTAGAGACTTTGAAGAGATGCTCCCCTCAAGGAGACACAGAAAGGATTTGAAAGAAATATGAAGATGCAGTCTCAGGAAAAGGCTGTACTGTTTCTAAGGAGAAATTTCCAGGAGTGTGGCTATTCCAGAGGTAACAACCATGGGGCATCAGAACAGAAAACAGCCACCTTCAGCCAGCTTAATGGAAGAGGCAACACACTTAGAAAATTCTGGGTTCAAATCCTGGTTCTGCAAGCATTAAGCTGTACCTGGCAAACCTCCTCCCTGAGGTTCAAATGCCTCATTCTGTATGGTGGGAATCCCAGCAGTAACCAGAACTGTATAGATAAAAGCATAGAACATACACAAAGTACTTGCAAAGCATCAGCACACCAAAAGTGCCACAGTATAAATTTGGGGACAAACAACATACATGACTCCAAAATTCTATCCCTAGCTCTAACCTCTAGCTCCAGTCTCATACCCACTTGCCTCCTTTCGTTAAGAGTCTAACAGACATCTCAAACTTGAGGCTCAAACTCTTAACACATGCCCTTGTTTAACTCCAAAACATTGTTCCTGCTGATTCTTGCCCATTTTACTGAACAGCAAATTGCCTGCTCAGGCCATTGGCATGCCATGGTTTGGATTTATTTCCCTAAATGATGTGTGGAAAATTTCAACCCCAATGTAACAGTACTGGGCAGTGAGGCCTACTGGAAGGTGTTTAGGGCATGAGGGTGCCACCCCCTGAATGGATTAGCGCTGAGTTCAGAAGCATCCAAGGCTGCAAACTGCATCTTACGCTTTCTCCAGTGTTCCCTTTTGCCCTTTCACTGTCTGCTAAAGATGGCGTAATTAAAAAAGCCCCAATAGATGCGGGACCTTTGGCCTTGGGTTTTCTAGCTTCTAGAACTGTAAGAAACAAATTTCTGTACTTATAAGCTGCCCAGACTATTCTAGGCATAGCAGCACAGATCAGATGAAGTCAAGGAGCTACGGGAGATAGGTCCCTAAAGGTCAATCTAGCCTAATCAATGAATTACAGGTTCATTGAGAAACCCACTCTCAAAAGCAAGCAAACAAACAAATAAACAAATAGATAAAGGTAGAAAGTGAGCAAAGAAACATACTAGATGCCAACTTGAACCTCCACAAACATGTGCACTCATGTGCATATGGCACCTGCATGCATATATACATACAACACACACACCAATACACACAGATGATTACTGTGATGTATAGTTTATGTGAATGAGTAACACTCGATCTACTACATGATAATACTGTCAAAGTCCTCAGAAAAACAATTTTCATGCTAGACTATTCCCAACAAAGCATAGAAGCCTACAGAGGATAGGACATGTTTATGCATACATGACCTCATGAAATTTACTTCCCATGACCCTTTTCTCAATAATTTAAGGAACAACTATTTTACAAGGAGAAGAGGCTAGGTGTGGGGGAGAAGAAAAAGGTAAGCAGCACTGGAGAAGCAGTTTCTGTAAGTCAACAGCTTGGTGTCTGTTACTGACTGTGTCTCCCACATTAGCACTGGTGTCCTGACTCTCAGTATACTTTAGAATGCAGCTGTGTTTAATGGTCACACACCTGTGTCTCCCCACATGAGTGCACTGGCACCCCAACTCTCGGTATACTTCAGAATGCAGCTGTGTTTAGTGGCCACACAACTTCAACCCCAGCATCAGGAAGCAGAGTCAGGAGGATCTCTGTGAGTCTGAGGCCAGCCTAGTCTACATAGTGAGCTTTAGGTCAGCCAAGGCTACATGGTGAGATTGCCTCAAAAGCAAGCAAACAAAACCTTCAAAATCCTCCCCTAAAACAACAACAAAAGAGGTAATGACTGTTGGGTGGAATCACTGAGACGAGTACTAATCTAATATACCTGGTATGGGTGTTTGTGAGGAGGGAAAAATGCAAGGACCTCAGGAAAACCTGTATCTGCTAACACCTTGTTCTTGGATGGCCAGCCTCAAGATAGCAAGAAAATCTAACCACTGCTGTTAGCCTTCCAGATCTGCGGTGCTTGCTGAAGCAGCCTTAGTATACTAATACAGTGTGCACCCAGCCTTCCTGCAAATGGCTGCTCGACACTTAGGAGAATAAGACAGTTTCTGGCTCTGGTCAACTGTTGGTTCATGAACACTATTTTAAAGTGTGTCCTCCCACTTGTTCAACATCAGATGTCTTCCTTAATTGATCCCAACCATATTTTTCGAGTCAGAGTATCTTACAGAACCTGGGGCCTGATTCAGTCAAACTAGCTGGTACAAGCCCCCAGGATCCTCTTGGCCTCTTCCTCCTCCATGCTGACGTTACAGGTGTGCATTGCTGCTCCTGGTATCTGAAGTCATTGTTTGTGTAGCAGGTGCTTTACAAACAGAGTTCTTCCCACTGTTGAAAAGCTCTGCTTCAGAGAACGAATATCGTAGTGTGGAGCAGGAAGAAGGGAGGTTTCTTACGGGAAACCTGTGTGTCCTAAATAGACTACTGATCCCAAGGAAAACTATGCAGAGTCTGGTGATGGTACGGAAGAACAATACAAAGACAAATAGATGATCTCCAGAATTGTAAATAAATGAGAGAAAATTATGACTTCAGAAAAAATTTACTACAGAGGAGCGATACTCGAATGGTGACTTATTTTGTATTGGATACTATCCATATAATTAAACGACTCAAAATTCTGACCGTCAGGGAGCTAGGGCAGGATGTTTAATCTCAAGAGGTGCTAAGTTAGTGGCTCCATCTAGCCACCAAATAATCAATAAGTAACACCTAAAATGAATGAATCTGTCTAAGAATACTTAGGAACATGAAGGTATAAATGGGATGGAGTTGCTTCTGGGGGACACAGTTGGAAGAAAAGCAAGGATTAGCATTTCTTTTAGTATATGGGCCCTCCTTTTCTATTTGCAGCACTGGAAGAACAAGGCTTCAAGAGGGAAATCATCTACCACAGAATTGTATCACCAGCCCAAGTCTCCACTTACAAATACAACAAACTAACCACGTGCATGGGCCACTAAGATGACTCAGGTGGTAAAGGTGCTGGTTGCCCACTCTGATGACCTGAGTTTGAGCCCCAGAACCCTCGTGATAGAGGGAGGATCTCTTGAAAGCTGTCCCCTAACCTCCACACAAGCACTATTAGACATACACACACACACACACACACACACACACACACACACACACACACACACAAAAATAACAAAACACTGTGTACTTATTATTTGATAAAAGTCATGTTTACAAGTAAATTTCTATTTATCCAAGCATCCTAGTCTTTCATTATTCAGTTAAAGTGCACGCTACCTATTTTTCTGTTTGGCTGTTTCCTTTTCTGCCTCCTGGCATTTCAATAAATCTGATAAACCGTTAAGACAGGGTTACCAAGGGAATGAGGGCTAATCAAGAGGTTTTCCCTTGGATTAAATGCCATCTGGAAAAAGAAAAGTGGAAAGACAGAGTCCTCACTGAGCAAAAGGTCAGCCACCCCGGGAGAACTTCCTTCAGTTTCACAGAGAAATATGCATGTCAGAGGCCCTAAGAGCAAACAGAGCTCCAAAACTACTAAGCAGACAACTGAGGCAGAGGCTCTGCTGTCATACTAAGTTTGGGAAAACACCACAGCACAGAGTTTCCTGACATTTCACTTAGAGGCCCATGTTTAACGGAGGTTACAGACTGGGATTCAGATCTACAACAGTGCCCTGTCCATGCTTGTGCACAGACTCAGGGTGTTTTGGGGACAGCAGTGCCCTGTCCATGCTTGTGTGCAGACTCAGGGTGTTTCAAGAAAACCTAAGGGCAACCCACCCATCAAAAATTAAAGGTAGTTTCAACCCTCACCTATTTACTCAGATACTCTTACCAAGTACTTACTCAGCGTCTGCTCTAAAAAAGGCTTCATTACGTTTTATGACTGGAAGAACCCCTTTCTGCCAACCTCAGTAAGTTTAGGGAGACCAGTACCTAGTAGATAACCACTGACATGCTTACTAGTCTCTAATTCTTTGTTCACTATAAAATCAGCTTGAGTATGTGCCTTAGTTTGGGTTTCTGTTGCTGTGATGAAACACGATGACCAAAAGCAAGTTGGGGAGGAAAGGATTTATTTGGATTACACTTTAGCATTGTTGTTCATCACTGAAGGAAGTCAGGACAGGAACTCAAGCAGAGCAGGAACCTGGAGGCAGGAGCTGATACAGAGGCCATGGAGGGGTGCTACTTACTGGCTTGCTCATCATGGCTTGCTCAGTCTGCTTTCTTATAGAATCCAGGACCGCATGCCCAGGGATAGAACCACCACCCACCATGGGCTGGGCACACCCCATAAATCACTAATTCAGAAAATGTCTCATAGCCAGATCTTATGGGGGCATTTTCTTAATTGAGGTTCTCTCCTATCAGATGACTTTAGCTTGTGTCAAGTTGACATCAAATTAGCCAGGACAATAATGTGACATATGTAGGTTGATGCAGAATGGGATGTTCTGCTATGGTGTGAATTCGTGTAAGGAATACTGACATTTTCTAGCCTGTCAATTCTGTTCTGTCTACATAGTAAGTAAGATGAGAATAATCAAAACTGTTAATAAAGGGATATTCAGTTCTGAGGGACCTTCTAGAACTGAAATTCTGTGACAACAGAATGCGGTGCCTTTCATAAGATAATCACAATTACTTCATATGCACTTCAAAGGGCATAGTATCAATTTATAATTCTGGGCATGAATGAAATGAAAATGAAATAAATGATCAGATAAACACCTTTACCATACATACATACCTCCAAATGTCACTAATGTATTGACAGGTGACTCTGAGAGCCAAAAGTAAAAACTGGGTGTTAGTTACCTTTTTGTCCATGACGACTGCTGAACTTGTCTCCGATCTCTGGACGCCGCGTCTGTCTCAGCAGCATTTTGATGAGGAAGGCATCCTCAGCATTGGAAGAGATCATCACTTTCTCAATGTAGGAATCTGTTGCACCTTTGTACCTGATGTGACAACAAAGTCTCTAAAATAGCTTCTAAAGCCCTTTGTCAATCTGTCACCCTTATATCTCTTCAATCCTACCACAAAATATTTTGATATTCTCCTCTCATGCTCTGAAAAGTTACTCTTATTTTTAACATTAAACTTTTGTTCTCCTTTGATAGTGTTATACATGTATGACGATCTCACAGTTATTCCTATATTACAGACAACACTAACAGATGCTCTGAGACTTTATACTTGTCTCATGCGAAGAGCGCAGCTTCCAGGGAAGAGTATCAGATTCAGCTTTGAGTGCCTGATCACTTTTCCAACAGTCCTTCATCGTACTGACCATTTACACTGGTACTGTCTCCCACACAGCCTGCCTCGTGTATTTTTTACACAACAGACATTGTGAGCAGTCCACCAAAAGTCAGATCCCCGGAGTATGGACACACAGCCATTAAAGGATGGAGTTCCTGCACAAAAGCAGCTTGCTTCCAGTAAGAAAGAGGGAGAATGGTCAATCTGTGTTAAGGGAACCAGAAGTCCAGGGAGCTATCAACTGCTGGAGCCTAGGATGACAATGATGGTAGACAGAGGTGATTCTAGAGGTGAGACCTGCTCAGGCAGAGGGAGTGGCCTAAGTCAATGTGAGTGGCCCCAAAGTGAACAGTATGCTTTGAAGAAACAATTTTCTAGAAATGCAGACTAGTGTGTATATAAGGCAAAGCCAAGAGGCACACTAAGAAACCCTCCCCATAGGCAACCCTGTCATTTAGAATTTTATTCTATTTTCTCAAAAGAGTCACAGAGCCAGATGAAAAGTTCAGAAAAAAAAAAAATTACTTGGGTACTCCACAGGCTAACATATAGCATGAAGGGGTAGAGAGCAAACAGCTTGGGTAACTAGATAACAATAAGTAACAGCCCAGGCAGAAGTAGAACCCAATGACCTCAGAAGTGAGTGTATTGTATGTATGTGAGTGTGTACATGTGTGAGTGTGTTGAGTGTATGTGTGTATGTGTGAATGTATGTGTATGGGAAAGTGGGTGTGTGTCTCTGAGTGTGTGTATGTGAGTGAGTACATGCAATAGAACACACAATAGGAGTTATTGAAATGGCTCCTGTGGCAGGAGAAAGGAAAGCACAGGGTTTGTACTGTCAGTGACTGGCTAGACTGTGGTGTCTATCACCACCAAAAGAGATTAGGAAAAGCCAGTTTTAGGCTAGGGAGGAAGATGGTTTGGCCTAGGTTTGGCTCAGGTGCTATATGGAGCCAGCAACAGGCAGATGTCCTTCTGAGAGACATCAATAAAGAGCCAGGGAGTGAGGGTTAGGTTTCTTCAAGTTGGGAAACAGATCCAGAAAAGGGACAATGTTGCTAGCAGGCCACACTGGAGAAGAAGTTGTGAGTGAGTATAACTAGCAGGAGGGTTAGGTGGAGACAGTGCTAAACATGAAATCAAGGGGAAAGGTCTTACAGTGGTACAAATGTTTTAGAAAGATCAGTGCAAGCTACACACTAGGTATACTGGGTGAATTGGAAACAAAGGCTTAGATACAAGACTGGAACAGAAAATGTTACTGACTGGCAAATCTGCCCAACTCTGGGTTTCCTTAGTTGTCTATTTCTCTTCCTGCACTAGGTTGTGAGTTCCAAAGGGCACAGATGACACTGGCTAGCTCATTGCTGTCTTGGTAACTAGAATACCTCCTTGAGCACTATTAACAGTGCTCAAAAAATACTCCTTTACTGAAAAGAAGCCAGGCTGTCTTTGACTACCTACTCTAGAGCTGTTTCAATGGAATAGAGAGACAGGAATTTGGGAGTGGGGAAGAGAAGCAGGAACAGGGGTGACTCAGAAAAGAAAGAGAAATGTAAGGGAAACTAGCAAGGAATGAACCCCAAGTAGAGACCAGCTTTCTTCTAAGGTGATAAAAACATCTAAGTACATTTTCTATGTTGTAAAGAAATTGATTTTAAAAACAGGTGGATAATATGGAAAGACAAGACAAAACAGCAAAGTAAGGGCTCTTGAAGAATGAACAAAATGAAGGTAAGGAGAAGGGAAGTGAAGTCTTGAACATCTGTCTCCTTTAGGTGAGACAGAACTGATGGGGGATGTTCTTCTGTATATGTTTCTCTTATTGGTTGATGAATAAAACACTAATTGACCAGGTCCAGGCAGGAAGATAGGTGGGGCTACCAGAAGAGAGAATTCTGAGGGAGGAGGCAGGGAGAAGCCTCAAAGAGATGTCATGCTGCCCAGTGAGTAACATGCAGGATTACAGGTAAGCCACAGCTTCGTTGTAATGCATAGATTAATAGAAATGGGATAGTAATTAAGACAGAGCTAGCCAATAAGAAGCCTAAGTCATCAGCCAACAGTTTCTTAATTAATATAGCATCTGTGTGCTTATTTGGGGCTGATGGGTGGCAGGATCTGGCCAGACAGAAACCTCCATCTTCACAGAACAGATCCACCCCGGAGGGATGTGGTACCAGGGACCCATTCCCAAGCAAGCTGTATGCTCTCCTATCCCATAAACAAGTTCATGGTTCTCCCACACTGCTACATTTAGCACAGGTCTCACGATGCCAGACTGTGTATTCAAGTCCCACCTCTGCCATGTATACCCAGGTGACCTTGTGATATCACCCATGTTCTCCTTGCTTCCATTCCCACACCATCAGATCCTAGGAGAACATGTCACAGGATGGGAGGACTAACTAAGCTCTCACATGTAGGATGCCCAGAAGACTGACCAGTACAGTAGGCAGCTATCATCATGGCAGCAATGGCACTTCTCTTTCAAAGTCTTTGCCAATCTCTGTTCTATACTGCCCACCTCCCACCCCTGAGCTGAGAAGAAATTTAGAGATTAACAAAATTAACCTTTTCATCATAGAGAAAACAAAAAGGATTTAAATGTTTCCCCAGGTGAGACAATATACAACTAGAACTAATCTTAGAAACAGCTCAATTCTAGTACATTGGTGATGTTATGATGTGGCTAAAGTTTCATCTTTTTCTAGAGCACAACTCTGGTTGTATCACTCTGCAGAATGAATTGCAAACTCTCCCATATGTTAGCAATAGCAAGCTATACTAATTCTCTAAACCTGGGCCTTTTATACCTAGTGTTCTTGATGTTTCTTCTGTTTGAAACTCCAGTCTATATGGCTTATTCCTCTTGCCAGGCTATATGAACTGCATGACTCCATGCTTTAGTTTATCTTTCATGACATACTGTTTTCATATAAGAAAAGATATCCAAAATTGGTGTTTCTAGTTCTTCCTTTTTATAAGGATCATATAACTTATACATGATACATAATCATATATGACATTCACTTTCCCCCATCCATTCTTTTTGCAAACATCTGTAGGTTTCATCAAGGCATAAGCAATACGCACGTGATAGGGACATCTTTGTACTGTGGTTGCTGTGGCACATTACTTCCTTCCAGAGGAATCTGAGTCACTGTGGGCATGGACTTGTTTACAAGTACTTGTTTGTTTTCTACTTTCTCACCTAAGAAAAAGAAAAGAGTCTTAAACAGATCATTATCATTTATGTGGAATGCAAGATTTCTGGGCACAAAACTATGGTCAGACTTGGTTTATGAAATCCAGATACAGAAGAAAGACATAGGCCATCCCAATGGGAAGTAAAGTTCAACAGGTTTCAGCAATAAGTTTGTAAGAGAAAAAATTCAGATGGAAATCACAATGTGATTAATTAGATACTGACTCTGAACTACAATCCCACTTCTGACACCAGATATAATGGGAAATTACCAATACGGAGTCAGGTAGAAATATAAGGGTATTTAATGGGAAAAAGCCTTACAGAGCACCCTAGCCAGCCGGTGTGGCAGCAGTCTGTACCGCAAGGACAAAAGTGAAACCGAAAGAGAAAACCCAGTCCCCTGAAAGTCTCACTCTACGTCACCCTGACCACACCCTTGAAAGCGTGGTCAGGCACACCTGTAGACAGCCCCTAAGTAGGCGTGGCTACAGCTTCCCCTACAACATATCAGTGAAACCCACTTCCATCAATAAGAAACTGACTTAAAAGACTGGAAAACAGGGGAACACCATCCCAGTCAACTGCAAATTTGCATATCTTTTGGTATCAGAATAGATTAGGAGCACTTGCTATCTGTAGACATTTCAATCAGAACCAAGTTACCATCAGTTTACCTTGGAAAGGAAGAAGAAACATCTCTGGTTTTGCTATTTCCATTCTAAGATCAGCTAGTTAAATAACTATCATCACACTTATTTTCAAAGCCACAGTGATCAGTGTTAATTAACACTTCACTGAAACTTCCAGGAAACAAAGGTAGACAGACTGAAGGGAACTAACACCTGTGTGGCTTGGGGGTAATCATAGCTCTCTACAGGACTGTCCACCCAGGGCTCAGCAATGACTAGGTTTTGTGGGAGGTGACTGTCCCTGTGTTCTGCATAGCCCTGCTATGCTCTCTTCCTTTCAGATAACCAAACTAATGAACGCTCGCATAGGTTTTGATCCTACTTTTCCATCTTTTCAGCAGACACTTCTCACCCATCTGCAGACATCAGCTCATTTCCTTAGAGACTCCACAGATCTTCCACACTGGGGCAAATTCTCTTGTCACACAATGGTCTCATAGTTATCTCTATGATTCCTTACACTAGATGTAACCTGACCTGCTTGTGTGTGATCCAATGATCAATGTCAGCCTTCTATAACAGCCTGTAGAACCTAAGGCAAGGGCTGTGTGCTATACAAGCAAATTCATTACACATTTGCAATTATAATGAAGTCATTTCTTTTAGGGAAAGAACAGCCCAAAGTCAGACCATAAGCAAAATGAATAATTAAGAAATACCAGCTAGATACAGAGACAAGACCTTATTCAAAACAGTGTTTCAAGTTTGGCTTTTCTGAATTTAAGATTATGCCAAAATACATTTTTGCTATGGGAAAGCATACATAATGCACAGAAAAAACAGATTGGAAGGAAACTCATTGACAATAATCACATTAGCTGAATCTAGATGGGAGCATTACACATTAGTTCTTCCTGCCCCAGTTACCAACAATTCAGAAATACTGTTAAATAACTCCCAAATTTCAAAAAGTATACACTGAAAATCATTATTTTTTTTAAGCATTTTTACCTGGAGAACAAATGCCATCTGCATCTAAAATTTCATGTCGCCAGATGGGTTTTCTGGTAGCAGCATCCAACATGGGACCCATCACCTTATCAAAGGTCTGATTGGTGTATCGTTTCAATGTGCACTTAGCATTTTTATATACAAGACAACGCCCAAAACCTGAAAAGAAACCCAAATGGATCAGAATCCCCAGTAATACGAGACTACGACAGTGTTCAATAAGTTGCTCCCTCACACTTCCAAAAACAAAATGGAAAACCAAACCTCAAACTACGTTACTGTTGCTAACTCTGAAACTGGCAAAACCCAAGGAACAACACAAAGACTGGCTCATCCTTCTCTGCCAACCATCTGCATAAACTCTGTGATTTCTACTCCCACTTTCCAGCATGCAATCCACTAGATCATGTTGGAGGAAGGCAACACAATGCCACAAAACACCAGAATTTCAAAGGGCTTTAGCAATCACCTTTACCATCTGTTTCTTTTACAGGTACTCTCAGTGAGGGCCAGAAAATTAACAGCCACAATCACTCAGGAAGTTGGTAGCACACCTGAAAACTGACCAAGCCCACCAACTCTCAAGCCTGGATGCTCGGCATAAACCCTCTGTGTATAATTTCTGCTAAGCCTCCCTGAAAGGTTTTCCTTTCTTGGATTCTGGCATTTATGGTTAGATCTAAGCAAGAAAACAAAATAATACTTATTTTCGAAGGAAACAATGGCTCCTTGCCTCACCTCTTTTAAATGTGAAGGTGACTGTGGGATGAAAAAATGTAAGGGACATAAGAGTCATTTGTAAGTCTCTGGGTGGTTCTCATCATCCTGGCTCCCAGTGACCTGTGCAGCCACAGCAAACCCAGCTTAGAGCCAGCTGCTCTGCAAGGATTGCATTATCTGAAACTGTGATACAACAGCCATTAGCAGCAGCATGCTGCAGGGCATGTGAATCCAAACTGTACAAAATCATCGTGTGGTTTCTTCTAAGCGTAAATGGACATTTTATTTATAGGCGAAAGCTTAAAAGCTAGTGAAGGGTAAACTCTGATCATTAAATTGTGGTTCAGAGTTTCTGATAAACATCACAGTCTTCAGATTTCCACATCAACGTTACCAGTTAATCAGAAAGGAAAATATCTAGTTCTAAAGCATGGCTGTTGTCATTGGAGGAAAAAAGGGGCATAAATTCAGTGCGGCTAACATTAATGCCGGTGACACATATCTAGGAGTACTATTATGGCTGCCTAGCAACTAGGGAGAGGGAAGGGGAGGCATTGTGGGTATGCCAGAGAGGGAAGGAACTAGAGAATGAATACAGAAGTCAGCCTGCAGACCAGGTGGTGCTCATTAGGGCATGAAGTAGTGACCTGTGAAAGTAAAACGTTAAAAGGAGTGAAGAAGAAAAAAGCACAAAAACTACATGATAAGGATAATACACATTCCTAGCTTTTGACATTTGGCTAACAAATGTACCACAGACTTGGGGTTAAGCTGGTTAGTAACAGCTTTTTCTATCTGCCCCCCAAACACAGGTTTACTGTTACATGATACATTAGAAACAAATATGAGTTCATGTACTATTTAATTCCTAGTAGGAAAAAAAATCTCATTTGTTTTTCTCTTTGAGAAACTTTCAAGCTACTAATAAAACAAAGTAATAAAGATCCTGAAGTTAAACATTAATACATTTTTTCAATGGCAGCCATTAAAAACCAAGCAAGCAAAATCAACACAAAAGTATAACAGGTCTTACAATTTCTACACATGGCAGTAACCTGCACCCATGAGACTTCAACAAAATGGCTACCTAAACAAGATCCACACAATGACAACACTAGTTCATGTGCCGAGATGGACAGGGGAAATTCTACCCCGAGCTTAAGAGCTAAAGGCAGTCAATGGCTGCTGAGAAAGGGAAATTGGTCTTCTCTAGGGGAGAGCTCCCTGATAGCCGGCTAGTCAACCCCAAGTTGTCAGCTCTAAACACATGTACAAACAGTAACACTAAATGGACCTTAGACATTTTACATGTGTGTGTGTGTGTGTGTGTGTGTGTGTGTGTGTGTGTAAAATAAAAAAGTTATTAAATTTGAATGGGGGTGATGAAGGAGGGAAAAAGGGGGGGTGGGAATGATATACAGTACTCATATGAAATTCTCAATTTAAATAAAAAGTATACAACAGCTCTATTTTGTGTATAAAGTTCAAATAATTTGAACCCTGCACTGCATCCTAACACCAATAATCGTCACTTACTGTACTAACTCTGGTGTTCAAGCTCTGTGAATCCACTTACCCCTGTCTAGGGAGGCCTTGTTCAGAACAAGGGCATCTTCAATGTCATAGCCACTGTAACTCATCACAGCAACAGTTGCATTCTGTCCCGCTGGCAATTTCTCAAAATCTATCAACTCAATGGTTTTTGTTTTAACCATGGGTTTTTGTGGATATGCTAGTAGATACATAAGTGTATCAATTCTATTTCGCTGGTTGTATCCAATGGTACCTTTATGAATATTGGAGAAAACAAAACCAGTCATTATATCTTGTAGAATAATCAGGTAGCATTGAATTTAAATATATTAAATTTGCTTAATAAATGGAGAAAAATCTCAGGTTAAACATTTCAAAAGTAATACTCATATTGTAGCTATTGTTTTCTAAAGCAGTTTTTCTCCCTAATATGTAAAATCCCAGAAAAATATAAATAGAGTAGCAACAATCTAAATAATTTCAACTTCTTGGGCTTAATAAATACAATTGACACCATGTGCACAATTTTAGTTGTTACTGGCTAATTTCACAAGTTCAATCCACAAACCTATACTTGGTTATGTTAAAATGATGTGAGAAGCCAGGCAGTGGTGGCACACACCTTTAATCCCAGCACTCAAGAGGCAGAGGCAGGCGGATCTCTGTGAGTTTGAGACCAGCCTGGTCTACAAGAGCTAGTTCCAGGACAGCCTCCAAAGACACAGAGAAACCCTGTCTCAAAAAACCAAAAAGATGATAGGAACAACATTGGACTTTCACACTCAGGAACTTACATAGCACAATGAAAATACATAACTAATGGCAGCAAAAGTTTTAAAGGAAAAGGAATGGAATAAAAACAGAACTCAACTGACAGCAGAGAAGCAAGGCTTTACTAATTTGTTATTTATGAAACATCAAAAAGACATCTACCTGCACCAAACACTAGGAACATTTGGTGGAAAGGTCAGGTCCCCTCTCCTAAGGAAGTGAGGACAGTGTAGTCAGGATGAGGAGTGAGGACACAGTGTAGTCAGGATGAGGAGTGAGGACACGGTGTAGTCAGGATGAGTGATCTAATAACACAAAGATGTAGAAGTTAGAGGAGATCAAATACAGAGTCTGGCTAACCTCCACACGGTAGCACTTAGGGCTGATGAGCATGTACACATGCCACCTTCTCATATGACAGTCAATTATGAGCATGTGTTACTGGGTCATTGTCAGCTCCAAGTGAAATCTGATCTTTAACCCCACAATGGGATTTATGGCCTTCATGAAGGAGAGTCTTTCAGTATTTTGGGCTCATGGGCACACAGCAGATTTTAAAACGGAGAGCTTTAAACTAGAAGCTGAGACAGATCATTTGGGAGGCTACTGATTCCCCTGAACTTCTGAGCATTTCTTCACTAGTGAATGACCGGGATGAGGTGTTAGCTTAGGAGACGCTTTGCTTGTTTCATGCATGTGCCTTCATGGTGACACATGTACGTACCTATTAGCCCTAAGCGCTACCATATGGAGATAAGCCAAACTCAGAGCCAAACTCCATATCTGACTTCTAACTGCTGCATCTTTGGGTTATGGATCACCTGTGTTCCATCCTCATCACTACCCCCCAAAATAAATAAATAAAAGCAAGAGCAATCTTTAATCAGGACTGAAACCAACTACTTGAACAACAACAAAAGATTTGTCACTGCTTGACAGTTATCAAAGGCAATGACAAGTGCTGGGCAGGAGGCATACAGAGTGAGGAGATCATATGGTCGCTCGGGAAATGTCAAGTGGATTAAATTGAAGAACTCGCTCTTTAGCAGTGTCTATGCATTTGTGCTTAAATCTTTACAAAACTTACCAAGAGTCAGCTGAAAAACAATTGTCAAGTTGAACCTCATGGCCCTTTTGTTGAGTTTGCACTAGGAATTGCAATTTGTGCTATTTTAGTGACAACTAATAAACTGGACAAGATAACCAGCAGTGATCACTCACTGCTTTGGCGAAAGCCTACTGCTGCTAGGATCATGACGCAGTTCACAGACAATAAGTTTACGTCTTCCTATGAAACCATTTAAAATTTATTTTGGACTTCAGTTCCAACTGTGTAGTTTACTCAGCTTGAGCTGAGGATTCAGGCGATGTCCCACCAGGTTGCCAAAACATGTCTTCTGAAACTGAGACAAGCATTATCCTGCAGCAGGGAAGCATAAATGGCTGTCTCTCTCAACAATGGCCACAGAGCCTGACCCTGCTATAAACTGTGCTCTCAAGCCCAGAATGCAATTCTCAAGTATCACTACTGACCACTAAATGGAGCAACAGCAAGATCATTAAGCACATCTGGGGTTTTAATGCATTAGAAATTTTTCTTTAAAAAACTTATGCACTATACTTATACACAGTGATTTTGGAAGCATAATGGATGTGTTATTAAAACATTATGTATAAACTAAGATTTTTATACCACAGAATCTTACAATGCCATCAAATCCCTATAATTTTTTTTTCTAAAATTATGAAAGGCTTGCCTGTGTGTGCACACACTCTGACTAAAATGTCCTCACTGTTGTTCTCAGGCTCCTTAAAGAGCACTGGAGGACTGGGCTGTAGCACAGGGGCAGGGCTTGCACAGCATGCATAGGCACACCACAAAAGGCCCTGGGGAATAACACACACAGCTAACACAAAAGGGTACCTACAGCTGTGGTTTGCTTCTACTGCCCATGCTGCTGGCATCATTGTTTCTAGTGATTCCCTTTGCTAACTAAAAGGACATGACTTTTCTTACTAAGCCACATTTTCCTGATAACTTCCTTAAGTCATCAATGTGCATAGTAATGTATACAAGTGTACCTTAAAACAGGGAAAGGGTTATTTAAAGAGAGATGAAAGAGACTATAAACATTTAACAAAACAATGTTTATGGAAAAATGAAGTTGTATGCATTTAAATTTCTTTCATTCTTTGCCCTCAATCTTAATCATTATCAATTAAAATAAAGGGTGACTGCTCCCTCTGTGATGGTATCCCTTTTCTGTTCTTCACCGTTCCTTCCCTGACTAGGTCTTCCTGCTCCTTCCTGTCCTCTTCTCCCCTCCTTCTCCCCTTCTCTTTCTTCTAACTCCCTCTCCCCATGATCCCCATTAGCTTAGGAAATTTTATCCCTTTCCTCTTCACTGGGGGACCATGTGTGTCTCTCTTAGGGTCCTCCTTCTTTCCTAGCTTCTCTGGCGGTGTGGATTGTAGGCTGGTAATCCTTTGCTCTAGGTCTAAAATCCATATATGAGTGAGTACATACCATTTTTGTCTTTTTGGGACTGGGTTTCCTCACTCAGGATGGTTACTTCTAGTTCCATCCATTTGTCTGTCAATTTCAAGATTCCATTGTTTTTTTTTTTTTTTTTTTTTTTTTTTTTTTCCTTT